AGTTATAGCAACGCTATCTTATCCTTTTTCTTGGTACTAAACACTGTGAAAACGCTATCTATTCGCCGTGCGATCAGGCGTATTTTACATATAAACAAACCTAGAAATAGTGTTCATCTGCATCTTCGTGAGGCGCATTTATAACATAAGGCCTAGACAATATGAGAATTTAATGTATTCATAATGACATAAGGTTTTATGTGTAAAGCGCCGATATACAGAAAATAGATAGCATTTTACAGTTTTTAGTACCAAGAAAGAAGGATTAACATAGCATTGCCATAACAACGCCAGGGTATCGGCTATGTTATCGCGGAATTGGCCTCTTAGTTTGTTATTGATAGCTAAAAAAGAACTATGTATTTTGTATTGCTCTACAATATTATATACACAATATGAACACGGGGTATTCTAATATTGTCTAGGATTATATATACAAAAAAAGCGATGTACAGGGTGTACCAGAACTTGCAATATACAGGAAAAAAATATTCCATGTACATAGTTTGAAAATTTTGAGCCTTTAAGTGCTACCTAGAGCTTAGGTGAAACTGTAACCATTTATCGATTTTTCTGCGGTCCTAGAAAAGTTATTTATGGTATTTCAGTGTTGATGACTTTCTTCATTGGTCGCTCTTTCCTCTGCTAAAACTCTGTGGGGCAAAGTTACAGAAGTGATGTACACTGCTACCTTTTGATAGTGTGCAGAATGCGCAAGATACTCTTAAGGCACTCAGATAGTTTATTGGTCCGGCCATTCTTCATAATATTCGAGTCTTGAAAGTGTCGCCTCAGATGAATTACCATAAGTCAGCACCAAAGTAAACACCACAGACAGTACTATCCTTCTACTCTGCTTTGGGCCCCCAATATTAAACATCAATTCAGCAAGGCCAGCCCTAACTACTCACTAACGTGGTAAAATTAACACAAGCATCACCCACCTGCTGGTAAGAGTTGAGACGAGAATCAAGCATTACTCCCAGATCGGCTTGATGGTCTCGTTTACTTTTCTGCTAGCAATAATAACAGTTGTACTCTTTTATTTAGCTATTTGGAGGTTCATAATATCCATCACCCAATTAATTTATGTTGCAAGCACCATGTGCAACATGTGATAAATGTTCATATGTATCAGCATTTTAAACGTAATTACCAGTTCGCTTGCAAGTTCTCTGCAATTAGAAATATCATTGCAAATTTTTTGTATGAATTCTGTGTCTTGTTTTTTATACTTTAAACCAGATTGTATACCAGCACAACAAAACATCTACATTTGATTTATTAAAAACAAAATAGTTATGCTATGACAGCAAAATATTAAAAGTACATTGACTGCAAACCTTGAATTGCTCACCGTATATTTTGAGCACATCTTAAGCATATAAATGTATAACCAAATAACAAATCCTATCATATTTTTAAGATATCTAGGAAAAAAAACTATGAAAAAACAGTGATTTATGTAGTGAAAAAGACTACTTACATAGCTGCAATAATTGAATTAACTGTCTGCTGCAATTGTTGCTCAATATAAAATATGATCAACAACACAATTCTGTAGTTACAAGCCTAGTTGCCAAACTATTTCTGCCTTAATGATGCTTAGTTCAGATAAGTGTGAAACTTAAGAACACTGCTTCATTAGTTTTCTGAAGATTTATATATCTATTTACAAATGCATTTAAATAGATCATAGTTAAGTAAATTTGTGTCAACAATTATTATCACCAAATTGAACATCTTTACCACCAAAGCAACCACAGTACATAAAACATATCTGGTACAAAATAGACTTTACCTAGCAGATTTTTAATTTAAAAATTTAGCATAAAGATGTAATGTATCTAAGAAGTGCAAAGAAACTAGATAAAAATAAAAGTTCAATATAAAATAAATAGCTACATATTTGATTTTAGTTCAAATTAGTTAGATTTGATATTACTTCAATGTAATGAAATTATCCAATCAATATAAAAAAATGTAATTTTAAATATTTTGAAGACTTAATGCTGTGTTGAGATTATTCCAGATAGAAACCAAAATTACCTATTTATAATATATATATTTTAGATCTTTTAAAAATAAAAATATTTGAATATAGTGTAAAGTAATAAAATAAAACAACTGTATATCAATAGAATAAAAAAATAGATGTATTGTGGCACATGAATACAACAAACATCAGATGTTGAATGTATAATATCGCACAAATGATAGTAAGCAACAATATCAATATTGCTTACTATGGAAAACTTAACATAAACAACAAGAACAATAGTTAATGTTTAACTGTCATCATCTTCAATTTTAGGAGCTAGGTAATAACGAATGTGGCCAATATCTTGAATGCGGTATTCTACTACTAAGGGCACATCAGCTGACATTGAAAGTTGAACCTAAAATGATTTCATTGTTAATATTGTAATCAAAATTCAAATAAATAATTCATTATTCTCACAATCACACTTACCTGGCCGGACAAGGTGTTGCCTTTGTAAATGAATTTAGGTATTTACACGCAAATGTAAGTGATACAGGTTCTTGCATTTCGATTGTGACAGCTTCCTCTTCTTTATCAACAGAGGAATTTTGGGCTAGTTTTATATTTGCAGAACCAATATCACCACTGCAGAGAATTTAACACCTGTAGGATGAAATAATATTAATAGCTCCATTACAAAATTTTTTTTCTCGTTTTAACTGAATTTACTCATTTATTTCATACAATTTTCACAATTTGGCTAATAACTACATTTGCATGATTATGACCACAAAAACATTGTATATTAGAAAAGAAAAAAAGATGTTTTGAAAATTAACTGATATTCAATATCCAAATTTTCAACAAAACTTATCCTAATTAAATAAATAACATACTAAATATGGTAAATAAATATTACAGCAAAATCACCTAAATATATAAATTACCTTCTTTGGTACACGAGATAACAACTGATTCACCAAATTGAGATAAATCTCGACAGATACGAGCAAATTCTGGGAAGGCATTCTAACTATGCATGCATAATCGGTATCCTAATATAAAATGCAACAATTAATAATATTAAATGTAAATAAGTAATATTTAGATAGAATATTACAGGTATTCCAAGGTGTTCTTGATCTAAATTCATGAGTTTCATCTCATAGTCTGATACTTTTTCTTGTTCTGGGACTCGAAAACAAAAGTTACTGTATCAGCATTATCTTGAGCTTTCATAGTCACAGTATCTTCATTGTTTGCACATTTCAAAATCTTTGACATGCTATAGAAAGTAGTTCAGAATTAAATATAGTATTGTATAAAACTTACTTCAATATGATTAGAAATCATTCATGAAGAATCAGTGCACCAAACAAGTTTCACAACACTAAAGCATTCAGAATTAGAGTATTTTGCAATATATGATATGTGATATATAATAGGTAGTATAGTACTTCCATAGAAAAAAAAACCTAGATAACAGTAATTTTATCATAAATCGATCAGTATTTTAAAACTAGCAGTTGTTGTCCAATGCAATCACACAAATAGTGAACCTAAATCTTTAAATATCTCGTAAGAAAGAAAATTCAATAAAACCAACTAGTCGGTACAGTAATATTACCATTTAACCAAACCAGCCTGTTATACTTATTTAAGACAATAACACAAATATTACATATTTAAATTAATACAGTTGCACTTATAAACATTAGATATTACACTTTCATGTAAAAATTTAGTATTATTGTTCAGTAAAATTTTCATGATCAAGATATTAATAAGTTTAATGTAAAATCAACTTTTATTGAAATCAGACATATTAAAAATGTAAATCTCTAGAAAACAACGTACCTTCCTAAGTTCATTCCCATTGACAAGTTACGATCACATCGATATTTATCAAATCCGTCAGCTCGCAAAGTCATTGATACCAAAGATACATGAATATCCATAGCTTGCAACTACAAAGAAATTTACAGTCTTCATTTGTATCACTAAATATTCAATCAGTATTTTATCGATATTTACTTGTATCCCAGAATCGCTGCAATCAAAGTGGCTTCGTTTAGCAAATCTTTAATTGCTTCCAAAACTTTTTAAGGGTTGAACTGGCGATAAGTCGTGCCTCAAACATCTTGAAAGAGTGATGATTCTGTAAAAAAGAAAATATTTACGATTTTAAGATTATCCATTCTATTTACAAACTCTTTGGAAGACTAATTTGGAAAACTAATGGGGCTTAAAGACATCAACAAAAGCAACAGTATGCACAATAAATGAACTAACCTAATAGTGCAAAACTAAAAACTACTGAAGAATAGAAACTTAAATTATCAATTTTAGTTGTAAGGATATTTCTAGATTTTCTATATTTATTTAGAGAATATTACACATATCAAAAAATTGAAAATTATTACCTTTTACAAAGTAGCCGGTAAAATTAACGAACCGCTCACAGAACAGATACACATTAAAATGCGCCAAAACACTAAAACAACTGTCTGTCTCTGTACGTACCCAACACTCATAAAAATAACCAATAAATTATGTTCTATGGGCAAACGAACAAACCAACGATCAAACCAAACGTCTATGGTACAGGCTTATCACACATAAAAATTACGACAGCATGAAAATACAGGGTTGTGTAGTGACAAGGGTTCTCTAAAGGAGAAAAGAAAGATAAAATTAAACGTTAAAAACGCCATATATAATCATTAGGTTTGCAATAAATAGTATATTCAACAAAATGCTCTTTATTTGGAAATGCTTAGATTTCATATAATGAATGACTTAATTGTATTGATACAACACATGCGTGTAACCATTGAATGATTCATATTAAATAATATAAACATGTGACAATAAAGTAGCTTGTGAATATTCAGAAAAAGTTCTGAAATATATTATTATATATACAATAATAAAATCATTTCTTCATATCACATTATGTGAACCCAATATAGATCCATTGCGAGCTCTTTATCGCATAAAAGATAAAACAACAACGATGCTGTCGCTGAGTGGCGGCGGCGCCTTTGATTTTAACTATTCGGTATTTGGCCAAATAATAAGTTACTATTCGGTATTCGGTCGAATAGTAAGTTACTATTCGGTATTCGGCCGAATATTAATAAGGTGCCGAATATGCCGAATGCCGAATAGTAACCGAATATTCGGTGCGTGCCTAATAATCATTAAAGTAATATGACCGAAGAACAAAATGACTTGACCTGATTACATGATATGAACAAACAATTGTAGTTGAAATACGCACTTACTCCATACAAATATAGTTTTAGCCGGACTTTTTAACTGCCCTAAGAATAAATTTATAACATTATACAAATACTAAAATTACATTTTTTTAATTTATATTTAGCTTGTAGTATTTTTTAATACAAATATTTTGTAATTCGTGCAAGAGATCGTCTGACTTCAATAATACAAAAACTATCGATTTATCCATAAATTTTTTGAAAGACAGTTCAACCTTTTTGGATAAAAAGATAACAATTAACCATTCGATTATTGAAATAACAAATTAGCCAAGTGATGACATCTACTAATTCAAAGTTAGTATTTAATTATTATTGAAACTTGGAATTGATTATGTTGATTAGTTTCTGATGAAGGTCGGTACCGGTTGTCGTTGTCTGAGATAAGGAGACGTTAATAAATTCAAAGTTCTAGCAATTTTTATTAAAGCAAAATGATATTTACCTGCATTATTCACCACTAGTTTAAGTAACCAATTAATCGGTGACAGTTGTTATTATGGGTATCCAGTAATTTAATCGGATTGCGCCTAGAATCGGATTCATCCTAAATTATTGTATTATTTAGCTCCGTTGCGCTGAAAATATACTAATGATTATGTGAACTCATATTCTTTTTATGATAAAGTTCACTTTACATCATGTAAATTTGTAAACAGTAACTGTATACTTGCGCATGTTGCATGTATTCTGTAGCGTCTGTGTAATTGACAGATGGTGCGCGATAGACATGAGATTATATTTTAATTGATCATTCAGTAATGCATTGTTGGCCAGATGTCGTATTACTTTAGCTCGTTTATGTTATCGACTTAAAGTTATTAAATTAGCTAACATTATGATGCTGTAAAATATTAATGTATATTTTAGTTATGTACATTTATTATTTGACTTTGTTATTTGCATTAATATTGAACATAAATTGATTGTAAATACTTGGTTATTCATTCATTTGAAGTAACATTATGTTGAATAAATAGCTGAAATGTCTTCAGTGCGGTATTTCCTAATGTATCTAATGATAAATTCTTGGTCCTGTAGACTACTTCATGTATGTTACTTGTATTTGATATGTTATTCTTTCGTTGTGTTGATGCTTAAATATGTATATTGTATAAAAATAGAATTATAAATACTTACAATGATTGCTTTAGTTGATGTTTTTAATATAATTGATATAGTCATATTTGATTGTATAAAGTAATATTGTGTTATGACTGCATTTAATTTATATTATTATATTATGCCAAAGGTGATTTTGTATTGATTAAATAATTTGAAATAAATTCAATCAATAACAATTTTACTGTGTAGCTTCTTCTAAAACAAACATATCTAAATTTGTATTTACTTTTGTACATATTAATTTTATTTCAGATTATTGATTATAAAAGTTGAGGTTATGAAAATGTTTAGTTTTTAACAATATTATTATGGATCCATTGATAACGACTTCGATTCAGATAAAATTGATGGTTCAATTGATGATTTATTGAAGAACTTACCATTAGATGTACCAAAAATGGAGAGTACGGAAAGCTCTATATCAGAAGACATAAAACAAATTTTAACAGAATCTCATTCAAGTGATAAAGAATTCAAAATGTTAGCTTAGAACGAATTGTTTGGCAAAGAGCTTAGAAGTGACTGAGATACCTAAAACTGAATTATATGAAACTGGAGTACCTTCAATAAGTGATCATTCAGTGAAGTTTTCCGTTACAAAATCACCATTAAATAGCCCTACTCATATATCTAAAGAATTTAGTCCTGAAGTAACATTTGAATTGCAGTTAAGCCCTGAAATAAAATTCAATGTCAGTGAAGTTGATCTTGAAAATGAATCATTGAATGAAGTAGATTTTAGTAATGCTACAAAGTACAATAGAAAATTTCATTCGCTTGTTTGTGCTAATGAGAAAAAAATTGAATTGATTAAAAAAGCAGATCATTAGATGAAGCAACCATTCCTACAGTTCCAATGTTGAATTTAAAAGTGTAATGTTAGGTAGGATTACTCATTATCCATTTAAATTATAAATATTACATTCTATTTTTTACAAACTTTAACATTGGTAACATTCCACAATTATTTATTAGATTAAGTTTTTCTCAGAGAAGTTAACTATTTATAGACTTTTAAGTTCAATTTGAAATATCTTGTATTAAAATGATAATGATATTTATACATTTAATCTCAACTAATAATACATTTACATATTATATACTGTTAGTATAATTTATGCACTTACTCTGGCCATGGCTGAATTCTAATATATAACTAAAATATATTAGTATAATATATACACCTAAGTCTGTTTTTACACGGAGATTGGTTCCAGAAGAATCCGTGTAAAAAAAAAACGTGTAAAAAAAGACATTGAAATTGTACAAAAATGGGTGATTTGTTCCTAATCTCTAAAACCTATTAAAATTGGTGAAAAACAAGAATTTTTAAGAACAAGAATTAAATTAGTGCTATTCACATTTGCTTTGACCAGTAAAAATCTTTAAGCTAGTGTTTGCAAACTATCGATACTATCGATGGTTTCAGACTTTTTTCTTTCATAAATACTTTTTTGTGACATAAACATACTTCGCAAAATTTAATTTGACAAAAAAAATTTAGGTACATAAAATTTCAAATCGTGCTAAATGGAATAAATTCATGTAAAAAAATTAAAAATATTCAATTTTCAAACCGTGTTATATCAAAACCGTGTACAAAAAACCGTGTAAAAACAGACTTAGGTGTATTTCATACGTTTATTTTAGTAGACATTGATAATATTAATAATATATATCAAGTTTATTTATATATCTTATTACATATCAATATAAATTGGTGTGTTTTTTTATAGGTGAAAATAGTAAAGCTGATGAACAAAATGAAAATGAGCGTGTTTTTGAAACTATATCTGTGAAAGATGATATAAATACACCCAAAACTATATCACAATGCCAATACTCTTTCAGCAATGTGGACCCACAAAATTTGGATTTAAACAACAGTGGTTGTGACGGAAATTTGATGCAGTCGCTGCTCAATTCAATTGATACAGGAACAACTTCAACGGAATACAAAGCTTTATGTGAAGAGTTTACTGCAAGAGTAATGCCACAATATTTAATATTTAAATCGCATGTATCATTTTTTTTTATTAAATTGAATAATTGTTTAATATGAGCGTCATAATGTGCAATAAGTATTTTCTTATCCATATATTTTTATCAAATGTCTCTTAAAGATATTACTGTGTTTTTATTTATATAATACATATTATATTAAAATATAAAATAAATAGATATTCGAAGTTCTGCATATCAGTCAATGTAATTGGAAAGTTTAATGCCGAACATACTATATTTGTTTCATTTTATTTTGTCAAATATTTGTCAACATTTAAGTGTATGTCTTCCAAGTTTGAATACATTATTTGTAAATTTATAAAAACTCCAATAATTGGACAAAGGATATATTCTATTCCATTCTATATTAACATTTTTAATGCAAAGAATGACAAATTTGGATACGGTTGTAACAAATATTATTTAAAACATGATCTTGGATAATAGTAATTAAGTTTTTTTATTTCAATATTAATTTGAAAAGTATTTTACTTTACTACACACCAATTGAAAAGATCAATTTAGAAATCAAAACATAAGTTTACCATATTTATGACAACAAAGAAGTATATAAACACATGTGTTACTCAAATGAACTTATACAATGTGCAATTTAAGTAGCAACTCATCTAACATACTGCAAATAAAAAGTATAGTTAGACTGCAGCAGACTTTGGTACAGAGAATTAAGTTTGAGAAATTGTTTGCATTAACTGCTCTTAAAAGTCGACACGATTTTCAAAACCTTGGTTGCATTGTATTTTATTACTAATAATATTTTATAGTTTATTATTTATGATATATATGATTTATGTAAACACAAAAATACTAATTAAATATGAATTTTTAGCAAAATTTTGATTACCAAAGTGCCTTAAATGAAAAAGATGAGTTTATACAAACATTAACAAAATCTTTACAAGAGTCTATGGAAGTTCAGAAAGAATTAAACAAAGATGTTTCTAATTTGCATAATGAATTGGATCAGTTGAGGACAAAATTGGCAGAAGTAGAAAAGAGCTAAAACTTCTTCTAAAGAATCGCCGTCAACTGAAAGTATGGAGGATAAAAAATATAATGAAGATGTAATGAGAGTATTGCAATCGGCACACATAAGTCGTGTGCTTGTTAACAGTGAATTACAAAAATTTGCGAAAGATTTAACTCCAATTCAAGATTAGAGTTTGATGATATAAATATAAATTTGAAATTCTTTTAAAACATGAAAAAGATGAGCTAAAACAGGAATATGAAGAACAAATTCGTACTTTACAAGATACTTTAAAAAATGAGAAACAAGAATTAGAAAATGAGGTACTATTGTTTTTATTTAGTTTTTATGTTCAATTAAACCATCAACATATAATTTTGTATTCCGAACTAATATTTCTTTATTGTTCATAATTATCATAATGTTTTTGATCCACAAACTTTTAATTAAATAAATTAAATAATAGTATTATATGCCACACATCCAATAGCACATGAATGTAATAAATTTTGTAAATATCTTCTAAATCCTTACAGATAAGTCGATTGCGCAAGCTTTATGTGAATTCAAAGATTCGGGTACTGATATCTTACAAATAAAGGAACATCTTCAAGAGCAGCATAAGAAAGAAGTAGAAGATCTCAGAACTTATTTTGAAAAAAAAAATGTGCAGATATGGAAAAACAGTAAGATTATTTGTATTTTTCACATTAATTGTATTTGATATTTATTGCTAACTAATATTGCATAATTTTTAGTTATTCTGAGGAAATATTTAGCCAGCAAAGTCAACGTGTATCGGTAGATTCTTCTTTAGATGGAGACATAGGGGATTTATTATACAATCCCGATATTCCTGAGAAATATCAGGGCAATAATGTTATTAGTACACTCGAAAGCGATGAACAAGGCGCTGGTGATGCTGCAAATGCCAACCTGGAAGTAAGTTTAAATAAGGAGTTTTCAA